GTTCAGCCATAGAGGAAGTCTCCTCCACAACGACGTCCTCATCCTCACAATCCATATCCTGTGCGAGGTCTGACGAAGAAGATTCGCCATCTGGGGTTTACTGATTTTCAACTTCCTGGATAATAGATCAGCTCCAGGAGCACGCCTCTTGAAGGAAGGCCTGCCCGGGACAGTTTGCCAGCTCGGCTGGGGGTTTTGAATGAGTCCCCCAGGAGCGGCTCCTCTCCACAGAGGGAGTGCTGAGGACTTAATTACATCCAGAGCTTGAGCTGCGTCCAATTTAGTCAGCGCCTTACTCGGGAGCTGGTTCTTCTTACTTGCTTGCTTTGTAGCAGCGTTAACGAGGGAAGCCTTCTCCCTTGCCTTACGGGAGGTGGTTGGTTTCTCAGCTGAAAGATCAGCTTCAATCTCAGAATGAGAGGCATAGAGAGCATTAAATTTTTTCACAGGGCAGTTTAAAGCATCCCTCATTTTTTTTTTGAACAGCAGCCACATTTGCTTTAATGTCAAAATCTGATTCCGAAGAGCTTGACACCTCAGCAGGAGAGCTTTTATTGGTGGCATTGGAATCTACCAATCTGTCTAAGAAGGTAGACAAGTCGCTTTGAGCTTCGCCCGGGCCTGCAGAGGAAATCTTACGCATATCTTTAAGTTTAAAAGAATTATCCATTATTAACCCTCCCGCTTGCGCAAGCGCAAAGCGAGAGGCAGACGAACACGAAGTTGACCCAAAACACACTCACAAGACGCTATTTTGGAAAACAAATTTTCAACGGAAGACCGAAAATATTTTTTATAGGAAAAAAAAAAACAAATTTTTTTACTTTTTTTTTTGAGGAGCACAAAAATGAAACACGTCCACACGCTATGACAGTTAGGTCGATGTGATTTGCGATTGCTAAGTGCGGTTTACAGTGAGCATCGAGTGACGACGAGGAAGTCCCAAGTGACCAAGGAGACTACCAGGAGGGATGCGCTGCAGCCAGTGGCCAGCGAGAGCCAGCTTCGACGCTCGAGGCCAACAGCGGCGGCGATCAGGAGCGCCCGATTCCAGCCACCGGCTGACGACTTTGGAGATCAACCAGGCGATCTCGGAGAGCGTGTGCGCGGCCCAGGACCAGCGGCGGAGCACCATGAGACCACGCGAGTGTGTGTGCGTGAGCGCGAGACGGGTGAGTGATTAGAGTGAACCGCATATTGGCCAGCGAGAATCACGTGCGTTGGGAAATTTCTCGAAGACCTCGATGCGGCGTCACCCAGAGTAGGCTTGAATTAATTACATAACCATGGCCTAACCTGACCTGTTACCCCCGCGAGCACCGAGGGAAAAGCCATGAAGAAAATATAAATGAAACCAAAACGCCAAATGAAACAAAGTAAAACTTAATAATAAATATATTTTCCTGATATTATCTGAATATAAATTTGCCTCTGTCATGTTTTTCTGGGATTTCGTTGACTTTTCCTGCCTAGCCTGATAGCCCTGAGAGAAAAGGGTGGACCCAATTTCTCGAAGCCTGTTACGAATTAATAAATAAATATTTCTCACATGATTAAAGCTCAACGCATTGCCATGTCTCTGCCCCAAATAAATGCTGGGATGATCCTCGATGAAAGTTTACGTCTTTTCTGCCACTGTCGGTCGACACTGAGAGAAATAAATGTATTTCTCGGCAAGTTTTAATACAACTCCTAGGAAGGAAATAAAATCAAGCTGGCCACGCATTAATATAAATATTTCCGAACAAATGTTTAAGACCATAAGTTCTGCCCTAGGAAAAGGTGTCCCCATAATCGGTTCCCTTGTAGCGACTGCTATGAGTCAGGCCCAAAACGCGTCACCGCCGCTTCTTTTGCTCTTCTGCAAACACCGAATCAACCATTTCTCTTACTCTGTATCTCGATGACTGACACATTACATCTTTCCTCAGTCTACCGATTTTTGCCAAAAAGCCTTCTGTCCCATTTCTTTACAAATTTTTCGGTAAAGAGACTCTGGACGTGACTGAGTCTTATCCCAGCCGTCGAGACTTCTTTACAGAATGGCGCCCGAACAGGGACATGGGGTTTACGAATTTTAGGCGAGAAAAAATATGGCCTAAAGACCCATCCGGATACGTAGAGTTCGAAAAATGTTCGGTTCCGCCACTTAGAGGCGAAATTTTAAGTCGGAACGTAAGGAGAGTCGGATGTCGCGACACACAAAAATTTCTAGGGCAGAAAAACAGGGAAATATATACAGTGGCGAGCACAACTGAGTGTATGTTCACGATTCTGACTTTGGCCATCAATAAAAACCAAACCACACAAGCAAATCCAAAAATTTTTTTTCTATAATTTTTCTTAATAAATTTTTAGTTATTTTAAGAAAGAAACAGCAACTTATCAAATAAATTCAAATATTTAGAATAAAAAAACAAAATAAACTCACATAAACTCAATTTTGCACGTTTTACCTACTTGAACCTATTTTCCCGTTCCACATCTCTTATAAACTAAATTTGATGTTTTTTGTAACAAATCTACCTACATATAATTTTTCAGTTATATTTTTGGTGGTTGTAGATCAGTTTAAAACGTGTTTTTGAAGACCGAAGCTGTATTTGGAAAAATATAATACAAATATATTCATAAAAGACCAAAAATATTCAAAATTTTTGGATAAATTGAAAATAATGTTGTGAATCTGACAAAAAATAGCAGTTATACTCGAAAAGTGACAAAAGGACTTGGTATTTTCCAATTTCCATTGAGAAAAGTCGAAAGTTAACCCCCAAGCTTAAAGTCGTTGGCCGGAAAATATTATTAAAGGACTCAGGTGCTCGTCTAATATTGTCCCAAATGCTAAATAATAAGCTTTTAATGCCAAAGGGTGCTTGTCTGACCATAAAGAAAAATGTGTGTACATATAAATTTCCAATATGCCACTATGCAAACCATTATATTTCCATTACATGGCTTTACATGGTTTCTTTGAGTTCGATCGCCTGGTCGATTTAAACAATACTGTTTTTCATCACTGTGAAAACGGTAAAACATTAACTCATCAGACTAGTCAACTTGTTTTTAATCGTCAATGATCCAATTTTGGTGATTTTTAGTTAATTTTAAACGATCTTTGGCATTCTTATTGGAAAACGCAGGCTTATTATTTTTTACGCTCGGTATGTATCCGATGTCCTGCAATGCTCTTCTAGCAGTCCACTTGCTGACATTTTTGTTTATGGTCAGATAAGCACCCTTTGGCATTAAAAGCTTGTTATTTAGCATTTGGGACAACATTAGATGAGCACCTGAGTACTTTAATAATTATTTCCGGCCAACGACTTGAGACTTAAGGGTCAGCTTTCGACTTTTCTGAATGGAAATTGGAAAATACCAAGTCCTTTGGCGATTTTATGAGTAGAACTGCCACTTTTTGTCAGGTTTACAACATTATTTTCAATTTATCACGAAAATTTGGAAATTTTTGAGCTTTTATCAATATATTTTTATAACATTTTTCCAAATACAGCTTTGGCCATCAAAAACACGTTTTAAACTGATCTACAACCACCAAAAAAAGAACTGAACAATTATAGAGTTAGATCATTAACAAAAAACATAAAATTTAGTTTATAGAAGATGTGGAAAGCGAAAAAAGGTACAAGTAGGTAAAACGTGCAAAATTGAGTTTATGTGAGTTTATTTCGTTTTTTTATTCTAAGAATTTGAATTTATTTGATAAGTTGCTGTTTCTTTCTTAAAATAACTAAAAATGAATTAAGAAACATTATACAAAAAAAATTGTTGGATTTGCTTGTGTGGTTTGGTTTTTATTAATGGCCAAAGTCAAAATCGTGAACATACACTCAGTTGTGCTCGCCACTGTATATATATATTTTGATAAAATATATCAGAGCATCGTACATAACCTCAAATTCGACAACTTAGAATTTTTAAGCAAGGCACATGGTACATTCGGGAGAACTTTAGCAAAAAGTATACCGACACACTCTAGGTCATCGCCGAATTACAGACGGCCGAGGGCGGCCTTAGCTTAGAGGGGGAGTAGTTAACTATGGTCAGCCAGACCAGAGTCGTTGACCACAGTCAACATCATAATGAAGCTCCGGCCAGACTGCTGACCCAGCAATGGGCCGGATGCTCGTGCACAGACGGCAGACACTGCATATTTGCGTGGCCGCTGTGAGCCTTTGTTAGCTTTAAGTTCTTTTCATATATTCAGTTCACATTTGATATTCAATAAATCAAGAGCACCAGCTCTCATTTATGAAACTCCGGCACTTAGCCGTTAACTCTCTTATTAATTATTATACTGACTGAGTCACTAGGCCAGCGGTATCGAAGGACAATCATCCTTCCACCGTAATCTCCCTATCTCAACATAGGAGCAGTACGACCATCCCTTGGGATCTACAGCGACGTGGGCCACCAGCGGCAGTAACCTTCCGCCGACCCCCGCCACGGATATCCAACCAGCGGCAGTAACCTACTGCCGGCCCAGACAATCAATTGAGGAAGGAGGCCGAAGCGACCACCCGACTCTCCAGTGGCTGCCAACCTAGCCGGTCACCAATACCCAACCAGCCGGCTTTACCCCTGCCACGGAGGCATAGCCAGCCGGCTCTGCAATACAACAATTTACACAAATTGGAACATTACTTATTTTAAATTATATATTCTTGGTTAGCGTCAACAGCCGAGTCGATCTAGCCATGTCCGTCTGTCCGTTTCTACGCAAACTAGTCCCTGAGTTTTAAAGCAATCAGAATCAAACTTTGCATATAGTCTTCTATATACTCTCGCTGCTATACATGTTGGAACGGGCCAGATCGGACGACTATATCTTATAGCTGCCCTGAACATCCTGAGCTAGCCCCATATTGCACATGAGAGGAAGTAGTTCCGTTATAATATGTACATATATTATTCAAATTGGTTCGTTTTGCAAGACATTTTTATTTTATTTTTTACAATACAAAATTTTAATATTATGATTTTATATAACAATATTTTTAAAAATATATTTATGTATATTACTACAAATTATAATTGGAATCAAATGGATTTTTAGTGCATTTTCCTTGCCATTCTCCGCGATTGTTTTTACCCATCTTATGTTTAAAAGATTTTAAAACCGTTGTTTCCGTTTCTACTTTTATTATTCCTCCAGCCAGTTCTTTTGAAATCAATGAAATAACACTTAAGGAATCTGAATTTAACTTTTGCTGGTCTTTTTCTTCCAGGGAAGTAAATTTTACATTGCAAATTGCACATTTCAATTCGTCTTTACATGTTGTTTTATTATAGTTTAAGCATTCTTTATGAAAGGTGTGTTGACAAAGAAAATATATGGATTGCATATTTAAGGTTTGACGACAAATGTCACATGTGTCATTGCGAAATTCAATTGGATTGTTTGTATAAAGAGAAAGTATGCAATTTGATTTCTTAAGCGTATTTTTTAAATCCTTAATTATATTTATTTCCTTTTTTGAATCTACTATATCACGAAATATTCCTTCTTTAAAGAGAGGCTTAAGCTCCAACGCCTGTATTGCTTTATTTGTGCACGACTTCTTCAACATTATAAGAAATGTTTTCTTACTTGCATTTAATTCGAAACCCACTTCTGGATTCTTTTCAACTAATTTACTTATGCATTTATTGACTGCGTTGTTTGTGACGGTGTTCTCATTCGGTTTTTTATATTGAATTTCTCCAACTTCACATGGAAATTTAAAAAGGGTGCATATGACTAAAACCTTTTCCAGCCGTAAGCTATTTTTTTGCAAAAAGTCTAGAACTGAACTTTTATTAATTTTATTGGCACTCCATAGTTCAAGATACAAAATGAGTAAATAATAATACACATTATCTTCACAGGTAGAGTAGCTGTTAACATTTTTTGCCAGTAAGTGGACGCAATAATCTTTGTGTTCAGATAAAATGTAAAGAAAACAAAGCATATTTTTCGATTTTGGATCAAATATTTCCAATCCGTCATTCTTAAACAATCTATAGAAATCAACAATTTGTTGTTTATCAGCATATTCCAAAATGCGATTTAAGAGATTTATTTCTATAAAGTCACATTGATTTTCCAACGTCTGATGGAAATATATTTTTGGTAATCCCACAGCCAGTATTACTTTCATGAGCCTCGATTTTGCCTCTGCATCCTTTAGCTCCTCAATTTTCTGTTTCAACTGGTTACGTTTCGAACAACATTCAATAAGTTTCAAATTATGGCTCGACATTTTTTTTTTTTTAATTCAAGTAAGTAGTCTTTAAGATAATCATTGTATCGAGAAGAAAGAAGTTTTGAAATTACAGCATATGGCTTAATAAATCCAATTGTTTTAGTATATTCTTGAACCGCTCTACTTATTTCCCCTCTGTGAAGTAAATAATTTCCGTATTGAAATCGCACAGAAGAAGCCTCTGCGGAAGATGTAAAGCCTTCTCGATCTAAAAACCTCAGTGCGATTTCATACATTTTCTGGTAAATTAAAAGGCCAACTGTTTTACTCATATTATACTGCTTTAAAATTAATGCATAGTCTTTGTCACAGCTTATTATAAAGAACAAATTCTTTTCACTGATTGTACAAAACACATCTTTAATTTGACTATAAAATACTATTAATTTATTATCGGTATCCACTATAATCAAAGTAGCTTGACTTAGCTTTAAAAGGGATTTCATCGGTTTGACGACGATGATAAGATTATGTCCTTCCCAATTTAAGCTTTTTTTTGTTCCTTCAATAGCAAAACAAGGTCCCCTTCCATCACGCGTATAACAGTACATAGCGTCTTCTCGACCAACTACCAACATAGACCCATGGGAATCTCCACAAGTAGGTTTTCGCATTGTACAACAATGATTGTGGTGGCTTTTTTCATTATCAAGAACAAATATTTTATCAATAAAGCCTTTATCTTTTAAGAGAAAGCAATATACACCATGACTACATGTTATAAACATGTTTTGAGTTGATATATCTGACAGTTGATCGAAATGTATTCCAATTATTGAGTCTGAAGATATCGTGTGTCGACAAAGATTGCCAGAAAAGTCTCTACTTATTTTTCCATAATGCAACAGAATATCTCCATTCGCGAAACCTATGCCCAAGGCAAGTATTTTTTCATCAATAACTTCAACAGTCATGCACGCAGCAGTACTTATGAGTGGATATGATGCAGATGCAATAATAGGAGCTTCTTGCTTTTTCGTTAATCTTTGTATATCATAAAGGTCGATATGAAGCCTATAATGTGCATCCTGTGTTGCAGTTACCAGCAAACTATTCGATGTTAGTGCACAAAGTTTGATAGTGTCGCTTCCGTGTTGAGACTTAAACGAAAAAGATTCCCAATCCGAAAAATAAACATGTATATTTCCATGTTGGTCACAAAGAACAATTCTAATTTTCTTTTGCTCAGCGATTGCATTGTTTACGTTAACGCAATGACACGTTATGTCTGCCGTGTTTGGGCATTTCGTGAAGGGTATGGTGTTGTAAATGTTCGCTTTTTTCCACTCAAGCACACTTTTATCCATTTTTATTTTGTTTTAACTGAAACAAAACATGCAATGTTTGTCTTTAGTTACATTCGGTATTTAGAAACAGCTAAGAAAATAGCACAATGTTTATTATAATAATACCAAATAATAATAAACTATTCATACTAGAAACCATTTACCGTCAAAGCACCTACAGCCCCACAATAATAGCCTCTTCCCACACACCGTCAAAGTGCATCCACCGTCCGTTGAGCAAACGGTCCATAAGGTTTTGCCGTTCCGAGTTTTCTCAAATGGACTGGCATCAAAGCGCATCTAATACTGTCTTCCCACACAGCGCATATGTAAGGAACGTTTGGGATTTTAAAAAAAGTGAAACTCGTGTTCCCACACACCGTCAAAGCGCATTCACCATCCGAACAGCTGATCGATCAGCTGTGGCTCATGAAAACGTAAACAAAGACTGTCGAATTGGCAGTTGCAAATTTGAAATGGAGCATTTACCAACTATTTTGGCTGTTGTACAACAGCAAAAGACACAGATTGCGTCAGAATTTATCCGCACTAAATTTAAATGAATTAAATGACAATGAATTTTAGTTTTTCTAATGATTTTTCTTTAACAAAGAGCAAATTCCCCGAAGAGTGTCTATAGGTGGTATAGGCATCCAAAATCTTTAAAATAAGGTAGAGGCAGCCGGTTTATATTAAATAGTAACAATTGGGGACATATTGAGGCAAGAATATACAGAAAAAACGCCAACAACTATTTTGGGCATGATTGTAGCTTTGGCGCCACATTTTAAATTCCATATCTCATTTGTTTCTCGCCAAGTGTGTATTAGACGTCTGCATGAAACCACTCACAACATACGCTTCATTGAATACATTCGAATGAAATAGAATGGAATGAGTGGAATGCATGAAATGAAACGACATTGTATCAGGTATGCGTTCTCGTTTTGCTTCAGAGCTTGGGACGTTGAACGAAATGAAAGAGAACGAATGACGCGAAAAAAGAAGCAACAAATTTGGCAATGCGTGTTACATTCGAATGATTCGAGTTGTTGTGCACGAATTCGAATTTTCAGAGATCGCGGATCAAAGACAAAGAAACATGGAAACATGAAAACGCTTATCAATTGCTTATGTTTCAATTTAGACTAGGCAACAGCCAAACGTGGCGGTCGATCAAACCTATTTTTTCTGAAACATTTGGTACTGTAGTGTTATTTACAGTTGCAACTCGAATCATTCGAATTCAGCGTCTCAGTTTTCTGAGTTCTCATTTCATTCCATTCGTTTCTTCTTTGTGCGGCTGAGTCGTACTTAAGCGAGTCAACTCATTCAATTCAGTTTGGCATTTGCTTCAAATTCACTTATACTGGCTTCCCACACAGCGCATTTGTGAGGAACGTTTGGGATTTTTCACAAATGTGAAACTCGTGTTCCCACACAACATTAAAGCGCATTTAGCATCCGAACAGCTGATCGATCAGCTGTGGCTCATGAAAACGTAAACAAAGGCTGTCGAATTGGCAGTTGCAAATTTGAAATGGAGCATTTACCAACTATTTTGGCTGTTGTACAACAGCAAAATGCACAGATTGCGCCAGAATTTATCCGCACTAAATTTAAATGAATTAAATGATAAGGAATTTTAGTTTTTCTAATGATTTTTCTCTAACATAGAGCAAATTCCCCGAAGAGTGTCTATAGGTGGTATAGGCATCCAAAATCTTTAAAACAAGGTAGAGGCAGGCGGTTTATATTAAATAGTAACAATTGGGGACATATTGGGGCAAGAATATACAGAAAAAACACCAACAACTATGTTGGGCATGCTTGTAGCTTTGGCGCCACTTTTTAAATTCCATTTTTCATTTGTTCCTCGCCAAGTTTGTTTACATTTTCGTGGTGAATGGTCAAATTAAGAAGAAGAATCAGAGTTTCACCGAAAAACTATCGCCTAACTATCGCCAAATAAACCGTGGTTAGATTTTAATGCTGAACTAACGCCGGCCCATTTGGGAAAATTCGGAACGGCAAAACCTTATGGAGCATTTGTTCAACGGATGCTAAATGCGCTTTAATGTTGTGTGGGAAGACCCTATTAACTCATTTTGAGCTTTGTGCATTTGAATGCGATTTTTTTTCCACTCATGCAGATGTCTAGTGTGTATACACTTTCGTAGTGATGGTCAAATTTTCAGAGTTGAACCGAAAAACTATCGCCAAACAAGCCGTGGTTAGATTTTAATGCGTTCTAACGGCGGTCCATTTGGGAAAATTCGGAACGGCAAAACCTTATGGACCGTTTGCTCAACTGAATGCGCTTTGACGGTGTGTGGGAAGACCCTATAAATCTAACGACCATTTGTTGGCGACAGTTAGGCCATAGTTTTTCGGTGCAACTCTGATTTCTTCTTCTGAACAGTGGAAATTTGACCAACACTACGAAAATGTAAACAAACTTGGCGAGGAACAAATGAAATATGGAATTTAAAATGTGGCGCCAAATTCTTGCCCCAAAGTGTCCCCAATTGCTACTATTTAATATAAAACGCCTACCCCTACTTTATTTTATAGATTTGGGAAGCCAATACCACCTATACACCAGAGAACTGCAGCATGCCACCGGAACTACAAGTGCACCGGCCAAACACCGGGTGTCTCAGACACCCGGGTGTTTATGGCACCCTATTTGCTACAATAAGAAACACCCGGGTGTATTTGGCACCCGATGGTTTTTTGTTACTGCCGAAAGGGTGCGAGCGAGTGATTCAAAAAATGCTTCGGGTGATCCCACACACAAGCATGGATCGGGCGCAGGTCATTTGTTGTATCCATAAATTTGTTATGGGTGTCTGAAAAGGCAAGCTAAAAAAGGAAGGGTGAAAATTGGTGATCGGTTTCACTCTTCTTTTTTTAGGTTGTCTGTGAGGAACGTTTGGGATTTTTCGCAGATGCGAAACTCGTGTTCCCACAGAGCGTCAAAGTGCATCTGGCATCCGAACAGCTGATCGATTAGCTGTGGCTCATGACAACGTAAACAAAGACTGTCGAATTGGCAGTTGCAAATTTGAAATGGAGCATTTACCAACTATTTTGGCTGTTGTACAACCGCAAAAGCACAGATTGCGTCAGAATTTATCCGCACTAAATTTAAATGAATTAAATGACAAGGAATTTTAGTTTTTCTAATGATTTTTCTCTAACAAAGAGCAAATTCCCCGAAGAGTGTCTATAGGTGGTATAGGCATCCAAAATCTTTAAAATAAGGTAGAGGTAGGCGGTTTATATTAAATAGTAACAATTGGGGACATATTGGGGCAAGAATATACAGAAAAAACGCCAACAACTATTTTGGGCATGCTTGTAGCTTTGGCGCCACATTTTAAATTCCATATCTCATTTGTTTCTCGCCAAGTGTGTATACACTTTCGTAGTGATGGTCAAATTTTCAGAGTTGCACCCAAAAACTATTGCCTAACTATCGCCAAACAAACGGTCGTTACATTTTGAGGCGCTTTGATGCAGGTCCAATTGAGAAAATTCGGAACGGCAAAACCTTATGGACCGTTTGTTCAACGGACGGTAGATGCGCTTTGACGGTGTGTGGGAAGACCCTATAAAAGAAGATAAAGGTATGTTGAAAAACTGCAAAAGTTATTTATCTATTATATAAAAATTAATTTCATTTTGGGCACTTTCGAATTTGTTACTAAAACAAATGGTGCATGTGAGCCTTGGGAATTTGTAGAATTTGAGGCAAGCTCAGTGTCCTCTTCTTCGGACTTGACCTCATATATTTCAGCGGTTTTTTCAAGAATAATGGCAACAGAAAATGTGGTAAGTTGAACTGTGTAAATTATGTGGATTTTAAGTTAAATTAACCACTCTGCCAATATTCCAAAATGCCTACAGCACGACGTTTGAACATCGGTCTACGCACAAGGCATACAAGCCAGCAACAAGTGTATTCACAGAACTTAAGCCAGGAATGACGAAATGTAGTAAGGGAAAATGCCCGATTGAGACAACGCGTGAGCACACGAAGATCAACTGGTGTGCAGCATCTAGGCGGATTCCAACCAGCGTGGCAGGCTCTCAACAGGAGCCTCCCTCGACATAGCCATCGACCTCAGGGCAAATTTCAAGAATCCGGAGATCGAGTGCTAGAAAAGATTCCGTATCCGAATGTGTCTCGGGAGACAATGTGCTCCCGGTGTTGCCCAAATCTGTTTTGTCCACTGGAGGGTCCCAACAGTTGTCCTCTCAGAGCCCCAGTTCCCTACCATGGTATCAGGCCCGGACTACCGGCCGAAATTGGTAAGAGGATAATCAGCCTGCCTTGAAAAACCCCCTTATGGCAATACCACCAACGAGACAGTTTCATCTCTCAAAATATATGGTATGTTCCTGAGGAATTCTTTGATAAACTATGCTCTGTCCAAACCTGGCCACAGCATGTGGTTGTCAAAGAATTCGAAGGTAAGGAAAAGAAACAGCGGCCTGTAGGAATTACTCTTCCTAAGCTAGATTTGCCCAATGCGCCTTCTACGTCTGTCAATTCCGTCCCAAAAAACTAGCCAACTCCCTTGGTATCTCCTATCAGAATGCAAGAGTCTTACGCAGTAAGCTTCCTAAATTGTATTCTGACAGTGTCACATTTGCCTTCCAAGTTATTGTGTTTACAGAAACCTGGTTAAAGCCGGAGATTCTGAGCTCCGAAGTTTTTCAAGCTGTGTTCACAGTATACCGGCTAGATCGGCCTACATTCCTCCATTGTCGGAACTTCCTATTTAATAAAACCATCTTTCCGCTATTCAGTTGGTCTCTAAAAAACTTTCGGATAGGGACCACTTAGTTAGTAGTTCTTGGTGATTTTAACATCCCAGGGGCTATTTGGACTCTAGATAATTCCATTAACCACAACACATCACAAACAATGTGGCTTGCCAAAGAACACTTCAATTAAACGGATAATTTGCCAAAGGTGACGTAACAGAGTTCGCCGGGCTTACTAGTATTATATATTATATTATAATATGAATGGCAAAAATCCTCCATCTCAACCCTCCCCGAGGGTGCCGGCGGGGCAATGGGCACGGTATTA